TATATAACTACATCTGCATAATCTTTGCTCACTCCTGATTTGCCTTCTCTTTTCAAGCTCTGTGTCCTGGGCTCATCCATTGCCTTTTCCCAGTGCAGAGTAAGAAGGGGATGGTTCTAAGGCACTTTACCTCTGACTGTGTATGCTTGAATGACACCATCTTCCTTTTTAACCTGGACACCTGACATTTTTATTTTCTTGCTTAATTGCCTTGGTTAAAGCCTTTAGTCCCTGAACCAACCGGCCTCTGAGATCTTTGACTATTGTATGCTGGACTCACTATTATTTGAAAAGATCAGTTGCCTTCTTTTTCCCCCCTTTTTTAAACTTTTTATTTTATTTTGGGGTATAGCTGATTAACAACATTGTGAGAGTTGCAGGTGAATAGCAAAGGGACTGAGCCATATATATACATGTATCCATTCTCCCCCAAATTCCCCTCCCATCTAGGCTTCCACACAACAATAAGCAGAGTTCTCTGTGCTATACAGTAGGTCCTTCTTGGTCATCCATTTAAAATATAGCATGTGTCCATGTCAATCCCAAACTCCCTAACTATCCCTTCCCTCTTTCCTTCCCCACCCTACCCCCGATTAACCATAAGTTCATTCGCTAAGTCTGTGAGTCTGTTTCTGTTTTGTAACTAAGTTCATTTGTTTCATTTCTTTTTAGATTCTGTATATAAGGAATGTCATACACTATCTCTCTTTTTCCTTCTGATTTACTTTACTCAGTATGTCAATCTGTAGGTCCATCCAAGTTGCTAGAAAAGGCATTATTTCATTCCTTTTACTCTATTATGTGAAGAGACCAATTTCCATCTTGCTTACAGCAGTCTGAATTCAAATTTCTGTTATTTCAATGTTTGAAATCAACTAAACTTATAAAAGCCAGCCTTCTTTCACATATACAGGAAAGTTATATGCCTAGTGCAACAGAATGAGAATGAGATGATTGGGTTGTATCACTGACTCAATGGGCATGATTTTGAGCAAACTCCAGGAGATGATGATGGACAGGGAAGTCTGGCGTTCTGCATGGGGTCTCAAAGAGTCGGACACGACTGAGCGACTGAACAACAACAGAATAGACCTAGCAATTGAACTTAGTTCTGCAGGCAAAATCAGATCAGAAAGAATATTCTTGTACAAAAGGGTTGGCCATATAGAGTCAGGTGTGCATTATATGTGGGTAGAGGTGGCGCTAGTGGTAAAGAACTGCCTGCCAGTTCAGGAGACATAAGAGATGCTGGTTTGATCCCTGAGTTGGGAAGATCCCCTGGAGGAGGGCATGGCAACCCACTTCAGTATTCTTGCCTGGAGAATCCCATGGACAGAGGAGTCTGGGTGGGCTACAGTTCATAGGGCTGCAAAGAGTCCCAAACTTTTCCAAACTTAAGTCGACTGAAGCGACTTAACATGCATGCAGGATGATCAGAAAATGCAATAATTTCAGGCTCACATTCCTCCACAGCAACAATTACCTGGAGCTTGGAGCAGCCCCCTTTCAGAAGGAGCATGTATCTTTAGTTCAACATGGTGTCCACTGTTCCCTACTTACAGATAATAATCCCATTTCCCTGCATCGCCTTCCCTGGGAACTACTGGCGTTTGATTTACTACGAGAAGGAGCTATTTCAGGTCAGCATCCTAATCTCTTTTCCTGCTTGGTCGGATAACTAAATCCCTATTGTCCTAGATGGGCTCTTCCTCACTGTGGGCCTGGGATGTCGGCGCACCACGCAAGACAAAGTCAAAGTGAAGGCCAGACAGACTGCGGTGATAGACACAACAGGGACTTCCCTGGTGGTCCCCTGGCTAAGACTCTGTGCTCCCAATGCAGAGGGGCCAGTGTTCAATCCCTGGCCAGGGAACTAGATCCCAGAAGCTGCAGCTAAAGATCCCGCGAGCTACAACTAAGACCCGGCTTAGAGGTGGCGCTAGTGGTAAAGAACTGCCTGCCAGTTCAGGAGACATAAGAGATGCTGGTTTGATCCCTGAGTTGGGAAGATCCCCTGGAGGAGGGCATGGCAACCCACTTCAGTATTCTTGCCTGGAGAATCCCATGGACAGAGGAGTCTGGGTGGGCTACAGTTCATAGGGCTGCAAAGAGTCCCAAACTTTTCCAAACTTAAGTCGACTGAAGCGACTTAACATGCATGCAGGATGATCAGAAAATGCAATAATTTCAGGCTCATATTCCTCCACAGCAACAATTACCTGGAGCTTGGAGCAGCCCCCTTTCAGAAGGAGCATGTATCTTTAGTTCAACATGGTGTCCACTGTTCCCTACTTACAGATAATAATCCCATTTCCCTGCATCGCCTTCCCTGGGAACTACTGGCATTTGATTTACTACGAGAAGGAGCTATTTCAGGTCAGCATCCTAATCTCTTTTCCTGCCTGGTCGGATAACTAAATCTCCATTGTCCTAGATGGGCTCTTCCTCACTGTGGGCCTGGGATGTCTGCGCACCATGCAAGACAAAGTCAAAGTGAAGGCCAGACAGACTGCGGTGATAGACACAACAGGGACTTCCCTGGTGGTCCCCTGGCTAAGACTCTGTGCTCCCAATGCAGAGGGGCCAGTGTTCAATCCCTGGCCAGGGAACTAGATCCCAGAAGCTGCAGCTAAAGATCCCGCGAGCTACAACTAAGACCCGGCGCAGGCAAATAAATAAAGAAATATTTTTTTAAAAGACAACAAGCTGTGTTTAGGTTCAGATGGTGTATCACTCACATGGATGGAGAAAGGACCAACAGACACAGGAGGTAGCTCCCGACAAGCCCTGTCCTATGTCTAAAAGGGCCCAGTGACTGCCACCCTGTTTCTGAGAACTTGGCTGCAGACTGCTCCATTTTGAGGGAGGTAGAAGAAAATGCCACGAAGGGTGGTCTCAGACCAGAACCTATGGGCCTCCCACCCGCTCATGCTCTGGGGGAATCATCAGGGGTCCTTCTAAACTCAGGCTGGGTGTGGTCAAGCTTTTCCTTATATGGCCTCTGTGGGTAAGTTCATGGATATTCACCATGGTGGGTCTGTCCCCCCAACAGTAGGTCTCTTTGAGAATATGGTCAAAATATTTGTGAGTGTTGGGGGAAGGGTGAGGGGGAAGGGATGGTTGGTTTGGGATGGACATATACACACTGCTATATTTAAATAACCAGTAAGGACCTACTCTATAGCACAGGGAACTCTGTTCAACATTATGTGGTAGCCTGGATAGGAGGGGAATTGGGGGTAGAATAGATACATGTATATGTATGGCTGAGTTCCTTCACAGTTCACTTGAAACTATCACAACACTGTTAATCAGCTATATTTCAATAAAGTAAAAAGTTTTTAAAAATTCATGAGTGTCATATTAAACTACTGTAGTGAAAAGAGTCAGAATTGTTCTTTCATTTTTTCACTCTAGTAGAAAATTTAGGGAACTAAAATTGATAGTTGCCTTTCACTTTGGTGAACTGGCATTTTTTCACCAACAATGGTTGAAAAAATATTAATATTTGGGCAGGCATATATACATTTTCTGAAATTATCTGGTATTCATGATGCCAAAGTTTGGTTTCTTAAGAGCTGAGTTAGGTGTTTGCAGAATTTTTCAAGGACCATGTATGGATTTTTTTTTTCTCCTTCATACATACATTTATGCAAGCAGAGAACAAAGAACATTGATTTGCAATTTAGAGCCATTAGTGAAAGCTGTCAATTATTGAACCCTCCTTATTACCCAGACTAATCTTTAAAATCCAATCTCAACACTGTCTACCCAGTAATTCGGAGCTTTTGATTACAAGTCCTTGTACAAGTTGTTCACCCACTGTTAATTCTTGCTGCCAAGAAGGTGCTGAGAATTTAAACTATCTGCAGAGAGGAATACTCCATGTTCCTCTCTGGAAATGAACAGAGATTTGGTCTTGGGAATTTGTCTCGTGCTATCTCCAAAACAGCAACGCTGGGACTTGGAACAGCAACAACCACTGACAAGAACATGTTTTAAAATTAGTTTTCATCTCTTAGAAAAAGAGTGGCTTCCTTATTCTCACATGATCATGCCTCCCTCAAGTGAAAATCTCTTTAACTAAACGATTTGCTTAAATAAGGGTTTCCCAACATAAGTGCTTGATGCTGGGCCAGATGGTTCTTTCTTGGGGGCTGTCCTCTACATTGGAGGATGCTGTCAGAATCCCTGGATTCTGCCCTCTATTCCAAGCCCTGCATGGGCACAACCAAAAATGTCTTTGAGTTACCAGCTTTTCCCAAGGAGACCAGCTTGTCAGCCGCTAGCTGTGAACCACTGATTTAGATGCTTAGTGGTATACAAAGCCACTGATTTCTTTCCCCATTAAAAAACAGTGTTGCTGAACCAAACTTGAGTCCACTTGCCCAGAAACAATGAAGCTGATCTACTGACATGGTGTTGTGGAGAAGGAAAGTGCAGCATTTATTACAGGTGCCAAGCAGAGTCCAGGGCAGCTAGTTCTCAAAAAGCCTGAACTCCCTGGTGGGTTTCAGCAAAGCATTTTGAACAGCCAGGTGAAGAAGAGGGTTCACAAGATATGTGATCAGTTTGTGCACCATCCTCTGATAAATTGATGGTGAGGTAAGGAGCCAATGTCACACAGGTTAATATTATTAAACCTCAGGCTCCAGTAGGTCTAGGGGTTACAGTCCTCAAGTAGTCAACACTGTCCTTTGGATGGGGATTCTAGCATCTGTAGAAAAACTCAGGAAATATTCCTCAGGTACTATTATCTAGGTACTTCAGAGAGGAGCTAAAGTAGAGGATATGGGGAAAGGGTCTGCCCCTGGGGAAGGAACCAGCTTTGTTACAAGAGCAGATACAGATTTGAGGTTCAGATCATCATAAACTTTAGAGACAGACAGTGAGTAAGTTCTACCATTTTTTTAAGGTGACAAGTCCCTTTTGTTTAGCAATTGGAAGAGCAAAAGGAAGTTGTCAGGCTTTTTCTGCAATAAATAGTTCTGCTTCTCTTTCTAGCGACAGAGTCTGGAGAAGACGCGCAGAAATGGCACCTCGCAAGGGGAAAGAAAAGAAGGAAGAACAGGTCATCAGCCTCGGCCCTCAGGTGGCTGAAGAAGAAAATGTATTTGGTGTGTGCCACATCTTCGCATCCTTCAACGACACTTTTGTGCACATCACTGATCTCTCTGGCAAGGAAACCATCTGCCGTGTAACTTGTGGGATGAAGGTGAAGGCTGACCGAGATGAGTCCTCTCCATATGCTGCCATGTTGGCTGCCTAGGATGTAGACCAGAGATGCAAGGAGCTGGGCATCACTGCCCTCCACATCAAACTCTGGGCCACAGGAGGAAATAGGACCAAGACTCCTGGACCAGGGGCCCAGTCAGCGATCAGAGCCCTCGCCCGCTCAGGGATGAAGATTGGGCGGACTGAGGATGTTACCCACATCCCCTCTGACAGCACCCGCAGGAAGGGAGGTCGCTGTGGTCACCATCTGTGAACAAAACTCCTCAAATTATTGCTTTCTGTTAATAAATTGCTTGGATGTAAAAAAAAATTTTTTTAATTAAAAAAAAAATAGTTTTCTGTTAATAAATTGCTTTGATGTAAAAAAAATTTTTTTTAATTAAAAAAAAAATAGTTCTCACTAAACTGTGAGAGAAAAAGGGAAAACTAAAGTTAATATTATTTACTGGAAATGGAGTTTGAAGGTGAAGCTAAAAGGTGGAGACTCAATAATGGTAAATAGTTTATGCATAAGTAAACTTAAGCTTAAACAAGACAAACTCCTTTTTCTTCCTCTTTTCTAACAGAAAATTCTGTAGTGGGTAGCCCAGGGCTAGTGCAGGGGAATTTTCATTGCCATTATCTTTTAGGCTCATTCTATCTTTCCACTTTGCAACTTTATCACTTGGTTTCATCCTCAAAGTTGTCTCATGGTGGTCACAGGCTTCTGTTGCACCAGTCATTGCATCAGCATTCCAGGAAACAGGAAAACTATAAAAGGCTAAATGCCAAACTGAGTCAGCATTCTTTAAGGAGTTTTCATAGAAATTCTACTCAGTAGCTTCCACTGAAATCTCACTGTCCAAAAATAGTCAGATTGTGAAAACTAGTCTACTTTAACCATTGCTTATAGCTACCTGGACTTGTCAGAGCACTGTTACTATGACACACAGGATGAATGGATACTGCTCAGGCAATGTTGGCCTGTCAGCCTCAGAAAGACAATATTAAAGTAAGACTGGGAGAAATATTAGAATTACTTTTAATGTTTCACAAGCATGTTAATTATGCATGATTTTCCAATTTTTGCCATTGTTTGAGTACCACATCTTCCTTTTCTTAGTCTTGGCCTTTGGATGTATTCATTTATTTAACTTGATTTTTATTTGTTTGCAAAAAGAAGTTTATAGCACACTATAAATGAAAACTGGTTTACCCCTAGTCTGGAGTCACAGCCCTCTATAGAGTTTCCATACTCTGTCAGCTTTCTCTCACAATTCTCCTAGGCATGGTTCATCTGACATTGGTACTATTGGCATTCGGGACCAGATAATCTTTGTTGTGGTAATCTGTCTGTCCTAGACAAGGTAGGATGTTCAGCAGCATCCCAGGCCTCTATTCATGAGATGTTAAATGTCAGTACTACAAACAAAAATGTCTTTTGGAGGGGGGGGACTTCCCTGATGGTCCACAGGTTAAGACTGCACGTTCCTAGTGCAGGAGGCCCAGGTTCCATTCCTATTCGGGGAACTAGATCCCACACGCTGCAACCAACAGCCTGAATGCCACAACAAAGATTCAGCACAGCAAAAAAAACAAAAAAAAAAGTCTCCTTGGGGACAAGGAGAGCCAATGTTTACCTGATGAAAACAATGGTATCACCTCTTATTCCTATAATAAATTCTCTTTCTATAATACTCATTTTAGTTATGCTTCTCTGATGGAATTCTGATGGATACAGAAGATAATACTAAAATACAAAAAAATTAATAATATAAAGTACTTGTGGGGTTTTCACATAGAAAGGATTCCAAGCCTGAAGTTGAGTCTCTGCCAAATAGGGAGATTAAAAAGCATAAAACCCTGCTAGTACCCAATAGTCTCTCCTCCTAATGGGACCAAAACCTAAAGAGAATTGAAATGGAAATAGTTTTTCTCTGAGTGAGTTAATGTAATTTTGTGCTTTGCCTAGTACTGCCAAACACCAAGCCACATTCATCTGTGCTGGGAAACATTGATCTGATCTAACTAATGGAGAGAAAACCCAGCAACGGAAGGAGATGTATCCAAGACTTGGGCAGAGAAGCAACACATTTCGGTAATTCCTGTATTTTCTAAATCTTGGGCATCTTCAAATTCGCGAACATCCCACTGTGAGTTTAAGAATATCAAGACATTCAGGTATCTATGAGTCTTGGATCCTAGAACAGGGGCCCCCAACCTCTGGGATCTAAGGCCTGGTGATCTGAGATGGAGCTGATGTAATAATAGTAATAGAAGCAAAGTGCACAGTAAATGTAATGCACTTGAATCATCCTGAAACCATCTCCCCATGCCCTCCCTCATCCCCTATCCCACTGTCTTCCATGGAAAAATTATCTTCTGTAAAACTTGTCCCTGGTGACAAAAAGGTTGGGCACTGCTGCCTTAGAACACAAGCTAAGAGGCGCCATGAAACCACAGCATCACATTAAGTGAGTTTGGTAACCAGCTACATCCCCAGCACTCTTCAGGGTAATGTGCATTAGACTTTGGCTTATCAAATGGTTTCGGTACTTGCCCTCATGGACTATAAAGCCAAATGCTTGATTTATTTAAAAAGTAAAATGAAAAAAAAAAAGTAAAGTGAAACAAGATTAATAATAACATAGCAACAATGCAACACATTCTCATTCTCATTCCACATCAAAATCACGTATTATTATTTCAAGTTAAAAAAAAAAATTGCACTGACCTTTTCTTCTTTTCATGAGTATTTGTTGATGGGTTTTCACCCCTGAAAAGAGACCCTGACCTTCAACTGGACTCAGTCTTTCACTGAAATTCACAGAATCATTTTTCTTCTTTGGACATTCAATTAGAACTGGCACAGAACCATAGCTCCTTGAGGTAAAACAAAACAAAACAAAACAACACTACATTATTTTATTTCTGTCCATGGGGGAAAAAATCAATAGATTTTCGAGTCATACTTGATTTAATTTTCATTGTAATGCTAAAATACATGCCCATGGTTCTATGTAGGACTACAAGAGAGGAGTTAAAAGGTTAAATGGCGGACAAGCTGAAGATCAGCGGCCTCTTACAAGGGGTGGCATCAGACTTTTGGACCTCATTTGCATATGGGGCTTATTTGCATATGGGCCTTATCTGGGTATGAACCTCAGTTGCACTTGCAAATCTTATTCAGTTAATAAGAACTATGTCCACCCATAGGCAAGGAAGCTTTCCCTGCATCTAACCTAGCAGAAACTTGGGTACTTAAACTTACTTTTCCCCATCACTGGGATTATTAAATTTGTAATTCAAAACTGAGGTTTAAATTCCCCACAAAGCTGAGACGATGTTCGTAGAGGGTGGAAAGACATCCATCTGCCTTTAACCGATAATACCTTTAATATGCAGGGAGGCTTAGTGCTCTGTGCCTTATGATCAGTGATAGAAGCTCATTCTTCCATGCCTCTGGGCTCAGACCTGAAGGAAGCTTGTGAGTAGCAAGAGTCGGTCCCTATGACCTTAAGGTAGGAGGTAACCACTGAGAATCCACAGCCCCCGGGCCCACCCCGCTGTGCTCACAGCCTCCAGACCACTCCTCCTTAACTATTCCCTGGGAGCGTAAATCCCAAACCAGACACCTGAATCTGGAGGTTCTAAACTGATCTCTGCAGGCAGTCCTTCCTCGAAGGGCCTCTTTCTCATCGGCTGTGCCGGTTCAGTGTTAATCCAAGCCTTGTTAAAAACCAAAATAAAGTTGGATCAGGTTGAATTTGAGAGATCTCACATTCAACTCCATGTCTCTTGGAGAAACGATTTTATCTGATAACTATGGGACTTCACATCCATTTTAAATATAGAGGTGGGTACATGGAGATTCCAAACTCCGTAGCTATCCCTTCTCCCTGCACTTCCCTGGGGTAACTGCAAATTCATTCTCTAAGTCTACCAGTATTTTTCTGCTTTGTAAATAAGTTCATTTGTATCATTTCTTTTTAGATTTCACAGGTAAGCAATATGGGCTTCCCAGGTGGTGCAGTGGTAAGGAATCCACCTGGCAGTGCAGGAGAGGGACAGATGGGGGTTCAATCCCTGGGTCTGGAAGATCCCCTGGAGAAGGAAATTGCAACTCCCTCCAGTATTCTTGCCTGGAGAATCCCATGGACAGAGGAGCCTGGTGGGCTACAGTCCATGGGTTTGAAAAAGAGTTGGACACAAGTGAGCACATGTGCACACACACGCATATAAGCACTATATTTCTCTATCACAGACTCTATCTAGTCCACACTCGAGAGGAGAAGACACACCGTGGCATGAATACCTGGAGGACACACTCAAGGGTGTCTTGAATCCTGCCACCACACTCAGCCTGAAAAAGCCTTCCAAGACTATGACTGGATCTCACTGAAGGTATAGAACAATTTGGGGAAAATTGTCATCTTAACAATATGGAGTCTTTTGATACCTATAGTACTATATTTATCATTTCTCTTAAGGATTATTGTAGCTTTCTTGTTGGATCATGAGCTCTAAAGATATCAGTTATGGTGATCTATAACCAACTGCATAGGACTTTTTGAACTTAAGATGATTAAAAAATTTTTTTTCGTTTCTTTTTTAAATTAATTTTATTGGAGTGTAGTTGCTTAATAATGCTGTGTTAGTTTCTGCTGTATAGCAAAGTGACTCAGCTCCATGCATATATATATCCCCTCTTTTTTGGATTTCCTTCCCATTTAGGTCACTGCAGAGCAATGAGTTGGGCTTCCCAGTTGGTGCTAGTGGTAAAGAAATCAGCTGCCAATGCAGGAGACATAAGAGACGCAGCTTGGATCCCTGGGTCAGGAAGATCCCCTGGAGGAGGGCGTGGCAACCCACTCATGTTCTTGCCTGGAGAATCCCATGAACAAAGAAGCCTGGCAGGTTATAGTCCAAAGGGTTCCAACGAGTCAGATACGACTGAAGCGACTTAGCATGCACGCAGAGAACTGAGTTGAGTTCCCTGGGCTATACAGTAGATTCTCATTACTTCTCTATTTTATTCATAGTATCAACAGTGTATATTTGGGATTGACAAAGATGACTTTTAAAATATACTCCCCCCCCCCCTTTTTTGGATCAGAGGCTATAAAGATGAAGCTTGGACTTCTCTGAAGACTTCTTTGCTACTAATTTGAAAGAACTTTCTAGACTTGATGCCATCACACGAAAGAAAGCAAATCCAATCATGCTTTTGTCCCCCTACTCTGAATCTAACTTTGCGTGAAGTCTGTATCACAC